AGACTAAAAATACAGAGTTAAAACCTAGTTGTTCAGTAAGTAATATGCACGACCTGTGAAAGGTTACACATCCTGGTATTTCTAGAGGTACAAATTGACTTTCAATTTAAAAGTCTTAATAATATTCTCTCCCAAAATGCGAGCAGTCATTAAAATTCATAGTTAGTTAAACATGAAAAAAAATAATTTACATTTACTATTTGGAATTATTACTGTTATAGAGCCATACCAAGTCTAAGGTCAGAAAGGTTTTAATGTTCAACCCTTTGTACACCCATATCAACTTTAATGGACGAAATGAATTCTAAATGACGAGAGTCAAAGTTAATAAGGGCTAGGTAATATGTTATGTGTAGTAGGTTCCTGTTTCCCGTTTTTAAAACTATGTTATTAAATAACACCATTTCTGTAAACCTGAAGATCTGTATGAGGTTGGATAGACCGAAAGGGTGTGGGGTGTGGGGTGAGGTGAGGGGTGGGGTAGTAGTATGTATATACACATTCCTCATGTGCTACCCCCTTATTTACAGGAACAGCATGTCTCTATTCCACAAAACTTTGACATTTGAATAAATGGATTTGATATGCACAAGTTTTACGGGATGTGCAGTTAAGACCTATCATACGTACCCTTTGACCCAGCTGGCAGGAGCTTCCAAAATCAACAATTTTGATTGCACTTCGCTTTGGATTGCACAGCAGTATATTTTCCGGCTTCAAGTCACAGTGGATGATGTTCAACTCGGGCGTGGCTAGGAACAACAGCGCCGTGCACATCTGCTGGGCAAACTTGCGGGTCAGGTTGAGCGAGACACCACGAAAGTTTGTGTTACGAAGGAGATCGTATAGATTATACGAAAGCAGCTCAAACACAAGGCATAGGTGATTACGGAACATAAAGTGTCTTTTTAGACGGACTGAAAAATATACAAAAAGAGAAAATGAATAAAACTGGTTCTTTCATTCACAGGTAACAAATTTGAATATTATAAAACATACATAACAAAGTTTTCAATTCTATAAAAGGGCTCCTGCCACAGCCATTTCTAGCAAAGTTGCTGACTGCTTTGCTATGTGCATATTGAGATTGTTATGTGATCATAACAAGATAGATCAAATCATTTTTATGAGGGCACACCATTTGGCTAAACGTGCACAGTACACGAGTGCCACGCTCTGAAAACATCAAAAATTAAGGAAAACCACAATTTGTAAACAAAAGCTAATTCTTGTGGTATTTGCGCCACAGACACAAATAAACTTGAACCATAAATATACTTCAAAATATATGAGTGACTTGCCTAAAATAACCGTCATCATTAAATTCTACTCTTAAAATTTCTCGAAGTGAAAACCAAGCATGTTTAAACTATGATGTTATAATCTTGTTTTGAACATCCGTCCCTTACATGGTAATGATTAGCTAAGACATTGTTGGAGTGAAAAAAGCACATATGTGAGAACACTTGAAATACTTCTACATACTAAATTTTAATACAGACAGGATGTAAATATTCATTACTTACCGATATAGTATTTGCTTTCAGAATCGTACTTGTTCATCAGTTCAAGGAGTCTCACTTCTATCTGAGCTTGATTTAAAAATGGTTTCTTATTTTTGATAATTTTAATTGCGACATACTCTTGCTCTTCATGGTCATAAGCCTTCACAACCTGGGTTTGAAAAAGATGAAATTATTATAATTTTTGTTTTTTAAATTAGCATTAATCATCTCGTACAAGTGTTCAATTTCTTTAAACCAATGTGTTTTACACTGTAAACCATTTAATTTTTACTGCTAGGATTTTCCTGATTTAGAAATGGAATTCCTAAAGACAAACTTTCGCTGACACTCCATGTCCTAGGACCCCAGCGAAATTTACACTGCTATAAAATTTTGTGACAGTTGCTGACTCCCGAGAACCATGAAAACTTCAGAACTCGTTGCTTCTCAGCTAAGTTCAAGTTCAGGTAAATTGCTCAAAACATCAAAATAGTGAAATTAAATGTCAGTGAAAATAAATAAGTTTCACAGTTAATCATATTCTAATCTGAAGAACAACCCTGTGTTCATCGTGAGACACTGAAACTTCACAAATGTTTGTCACACAAATTGATCTGTTTTTTCAAGCGGATTTTCACCAAAGTGACAATTTAATAAATTAACACTGAGCCTAATGTAAACTGACTGTCAATATCAAGTGCTTCCAGTTTTTTTCACAAAATTCAGAAAGCATATAAACATAAGTTTTCTCTATTAGAAGTTACACAACTTGTTCTTCAGAAAACTCAATGTAGGTTAGTTTACCTGTCCAAATGATCCTTTCCCTATAAGGGAATCTATCTCGTAACGGTCATTCCACTTCTCGCCATTTTTCACAATATAGTCGTAATTATCATCATCGTAACCTTCATTAATTAATCGGTTCATTTTTTTCGTGGTCGGATCATCTCCTTGTGCTTCCTTGGCCCGCCTCTTCTTCTTGGTGTAATAAACCTGGTGTTAAATAAATTTGGTGTTAGTTAACATAGTTTAACATACAGCTGCATGTATCTTGTGTATCCACATCTAATCAGCTATCTAGGCTCAAATCATGTTCAGGCAACTCTTCCCCAACTGGTTTAATCAACTAACTATACTAAAACAGGCTATGTCGTGTTAGAAAGCAGTTTGTTATGAAAGTTCTGACTGACTTCGAATCATACGAGACTTTAATGCAATTTGCAGACAATTTCAACTATACAAGGATTTATACAATTGCATTTCAAACACAGCTGAATCAGCAAAAGAATTGTACTCCTGAAGACGAATGGCATCCTTTTATATATCTTCAGACCCTATCTGCTGGATATTAAAAATGTGACTACTCTTTACAAAACTGATGTCAGAATTCTATATCATTTTATTGAGGCCGTCACCAACTATAAAATCTTCTTGAAATTAGACAAAAAGGTATAAACACAAGAGATATATGTCAAATTAAAGGAATGGTAATATATATTAACGGCCAAGGAAAAAAAAAGTTCATCTACAAAAAATATGGACCAGTGGTCAAAAATGAATCACTTTATCTCCATAAAACAAGATTTTGGTAAAATATTTGGGGATATATACATCCCATTTTAACTAATTGGGTTCAATGAGGGGTAACATTAATCATTTTCTGAGAAGGTTCAGTATAATTTGAGTTTTTGGTTAAATATTTGGATATATATATTCCATTTTAACAAACTTGGTTCAATCAGGGGTAGCATTAATAATTTTCTGAGAAGGTCCAGTATAATTTGAGTTTTTGGTAAAATATTTGGATATATATATTCCATTTTAACAAACTTGGTTCAATCAGGGGTAACATTAATCATTTTCTGAGAAGGTTCAGTATAATTTGAGTTTTTGGTAAAATATTTGGATATATATATATTCCATTTTAACAAACTGGGTTCAATCAGGGGTAACATTAATAATTTTGTGAGCAGGCTCATTATAAATTACCAGGGTTTATTTTTGACCTGTTCATTGCAATGCAATGTTCCAAGCCTCAGGCATGAAACACACTCTACCAGCTCAACATATGAACTAGCGGCACCTTCAAAGGACAATATCAGTATACAAAAATACTTTTTGCTAAAATAGCTACATCTAAATTTAGCTGTAATACATGCAACTTTAATGTTACAATAAGTATTGCGAATTCTAAATACTGAGCTGAAAATAGTTCACAACAAAAAATTTGATAGGCATGTATATTTAACATCAGACAAGATAAGCCAGAATACACGCTAACATGCAAAACAGACATACAGGTAGGTTTAGTATGCACATAATTAACCAGACAGCTTCCTCGCTGTTTTTTTTCTTTTAAGGCCACTGATAATTAAAATTGAAAGGTGAACGCACTGTGCACGCTTTGAAGAGGAAACAATAAACCAGTAGGTAATAGGGAGTGATACGATAACTACAACGCAAATTATACAGGGTTATTGTAAGTAGCAAAGGTGAACAACCATGTAACACTCGCAGATACGTATATTTTTACTGCAAATTTGCATAAACTGAAGACAAATCACTCTCTATGAAGACGTTAGCAATTAACATAATTGATATACTGACTACCGTGTTTCATCAATATACTTCTGTTTGAACAGCCGGGTTGGCAATGCAATTTTAAAACAACGATTTACTACCCCAACCTAAATTACTATCGATGATTTATTTAGTTCTTACACTCACCTCATTTATATGCTTGTATGTTTTAATGAGATCCACGCTCAGCTTTCTCAGTGGCGCCGTTGTCGCATCACGAAACGTTTGCGGTATACGACTTTGTAAGGCGGCCATCTCCTGTTGGTGTTGCTGCTGCTGGTACTGCTGTTCCTGTATCTGCTGGAGCTGCTCTTGATTGAGGTGTTGGTAGTTGTTAGGGTTCGGTTGTCCTGCCATGGTTAGTTCAATACTCAGACTCCCTGGCTGGGAAAACACATATCTCTTCTGAAATGTACCTATAAATAAATAAATAATAGTGAGTTGTTTAGTGAAAAGATTTATGTATCATTTGTTCATACTTTCTCCTCAATATTGGGTAATGTAAACCCAATACAAAAAAAAAAATAAGAAAAACAAATTTGGGTCGAAAGACAATTGTTCATGAAATGTTACAAAAAATAGTTAAAATTCTCAATTTTGCACTGGTTTACACAGTGAAATGATAAATTGCTCTATGACATTAGATGGAAATTTCATGTGTTAATATGAACAATTTCTAATATTGTTAGAATATTTCAAAAACTGACATTGACATTAGTGCTTTTTAAAGAGTGTTACAAGAGTTTTCCATTGTGTAATAATAAGTTTTTTCTCATAATGCATTATAAACTGAATTTGAATTTGATTTAAACTGTCTTAAGAGAATGGTATGAATATTAAATTCATTCACTAGATTTGAAATACTGTATTGTCATATTTATCACTACCCCAGTGATAAATTTAGCAGATTTCAATTAAAAGCTTTAGTCTTCATCCAGCAAGCGCAAACAAACACATCTCTATACACATACTGCATATCGCATGGAATGCATATCAAACAGAAATGGGCACACCAATTTCAGTAACAACAAAATTAAAAACCTTGTGAATCATTAATGCATTTAAACATACTATTATCACTGGAATGTATTGTATTTTTTGCTTTAACATGTTTGGTAAGTTTTTTGTCACGAGGAGCTAAAAAACAGGCTGAGTTGTTCAGTTTCATTCTTGTGAAATAGTAAATTCTGAATGACAATAATCTACAAGGTCAAAAGTAATTGTACAGATCGTCTCAAACAACTGCTATGTAGTAAATGAATACCATGTGATTACTGACTATAGAATAATTTATTTTCACTTGGGATTTATTACCCCTGTGAGGATGAAAGAAATCAGGGGGATACAAAGTATCCAACAGCATTTTATATTATTTAAATACCATGTGAATACTGACTACAGAATAATTTATTTTCACTTGGGATTTATTACCACTGTGAGGCTGAAGTAAATCAGGCGATAAAACAGCATTTTAAATTATTTTGAAAATTTACCAATTTTGATGTGTTTTACAATACCATGTATCAGAGACAGCAAACCCAACCAGATGTGAACTGTAGTATGTATATAACAACAACAACAACAACTGCACATAATACACCTGTAGCAAAACAACAAAACTACCACAATAAACATGTTTCTATGCTGAAACAATCACGCTATTAAAATTCAACTGCTACTAGCATTACAAAAAGCAAAACATAGCAACCACATTAACTTGCATGGCTTTATTAGTCACCACTTGAGAGGTCAATTGAAAGCATGTATGCTAAAGTAATTTCACTTGTACTACTATTAAAAGAAGTACTGCTTGACAACTCTGCCTGACTACCTCTGCTCAGTCTTATTTAGAACCTAAAACTAAAAGACTCCTCTTTCTTAGAGGACACTCTGAGAACTAAGCATCAGAACTTTTGTTTCAGTCATGGAGGGTCTCTTTCCATAACCATCTCCCCACATTTAATGATCTATGACCTGCAGTCCAGTATAGTCAACTTTCATGCCCAGTTGACTTCAGAAATACAAGAAGCTATTTTTATCTACTTTAACTCAAGAATAAAGCCATGCTGTGTTAAATATTGATGTACTTATTAACGGCACAGAGCACCAACAGTGTTGGAAATTAATAACATTGTACATGCCCATTTACACTTACACAGAGACCAACAACTGATTTAACTTGTATCATGGAATTCAGTAATTCCTTCAGCAGAAATTAATTCAAAAGAACTACAAAGATCTAGCAGCCAGATGATCACAAGACCACAGACATTCTGGAGGGTACATGTAGTATGTTTTTATCTAATTATAAAAGTGCCTTATTCAAACTTGCTAAATGTACTTCGTACTGATATTGATAGAATAAAAAATGCTGCTGATTTTAATTTCAGCAGTCACATTTGTGAGCACATAACTTTGTTTACTTTCTGAGATTCAGCAAATAAAGCCACAAATTATACATAACTGTAACACATATGTCCAGCATACACAGTATCGTGATTGTGGAACCCACAATCTTGAGTGTTGGCATCTAGTTTAATCTACTGAAAGTCAGATTTCCACTTGTGAGTCCCAAAGGCCATTGCAACTTCCCTCCAGCACGTGAACAACTACAGCAGAGTGAGGTTATGGTGCCAAAGACGAACACTTCTGAACATAACACCTGTTGTCGAAATTTTTTTCATTTATTGTGGCTATCTGTGGAGGCATTCAGCAGGTGACATGCTATTAACTTAAGTTTTTGAACTATTGCTCTCAGAGACGAATATGTCGTGACAGTTCACTGAGAGGTGAATAGGTCAGTATGGGAAACAATTGCTGACAAGAACCCTAGAGAGAGTGTATGTTCAGGATCATCTGAATACACAAGCCATGGGAGGTCACAACTACTTTATGGTTACATTCAACACTCGTATTTCATCAGGAACAAGACAGAATCATGTCAACACACTGGGACAGTTATTAACAAGCTGAAGTTCATGTTTATTGAACCTTTCACTGGGAGTGTGCCTTCTTATAGATTTGCACTCAGAACTGTCTAGAGTTTCATGTACTTTGTGTTGATGGAGGCAAGAATGATACAAACTGAATCGACAGATGTCAGTGTAGTTGAAATCCCACCAAACATTGCATTGTCAAGATATCTTTATAGACTTATGGAAATATATGCAGCCCAAGATACACTTCCAGTCTTGCTGGATCAAAAACTCCAGCTTGTCTACAAAACAAGCAGCGAAAAATTCATTCCAGCTAAAATAAAGTATTTTATAGTAGACTTCAAATTGTTTTATTTTGATCATTATACTGATAGACACAAGTTTTGTGAATTCTGAAACAGAGCAGTTGTGAGAAAATATTAGGGTTGTACAAACCAGTTTGTTTACCTAATCATACCTACCAGAAAGTCTGTGGAAATAATAAATTCCATTTATTACTTTCTCATAATTTAACCATTTTTATTGAACCACTTTAAGGTACTACTAATACACAATATTATGGATTTTTTTTTTAATTCCGGAACATTAAGTTCACAAATCAAAGAATAATTTTATATAATGATCCTAATGACTGTCCCAGCAACAAAATCTCATTACTACATTGCTTGAATTAGCTGGGATGGTGAGCCAAATACATAAGAACTCATTCCGAGGAAAACCTTGGTTCAAATTATTACACTGAAATACAACATTAGAAGTACAACTTCCGATCTGATTAAATCCTTAAAAAATGCATATTTGCAGAGAATTCCTGGTTTATTTAGATGCGAGCACTTTTTCAGCAATCGCAAGGAGATGGGAGGAAGGGGTGTAGATATAAATGAGAACTAAAAAACATACATAGCCACTCAAGTGAAACATGGTCAATTATTTTGTCAAAGGCATGCCACACGCCACCACACTGATCACTGATCATGAAAGGGAGTGACGCAATAGGTTTTTACCACGATAGTAAATTACTGCTGAGTGAAAGCTTGACTTAAATAAACAAGTTTATGGTAAAGAGAAATAGAAGCAGGCATAATAAAGTTACATGGCCCTGTAAGTTGTAAGAATTACCTATTAACCGACCCTGTCCAATCATGGTATATTTTAACACTGACAAATCACTTGTAAAGACATGTGCAAAAAGATGTATATTCATGCTTGATCGTAAGTAGTCATCTAGCTTTAAAAGCAAGTTAGTACAACATAGCTATAAAAATGTCTGACTTGTACCACGGAAAGTACACATGCCCAATATATTGCATGCTTGTACCTACATGACAGCATCTCCCTATTCAGAAAGTGTCCCAGAATCCCTGGTATGCAAGTTTAGACTTAACCCAGTAATTTAGGACACTCCATTCAAGAGAAGTATGTCAATTTATAAAGAACAAAAAACACAAAACCAGTGTTCTCCCCCAGGGTCATTTACAGCATAGTGGCTTTGATATGCTGGACCATAGAAATGCCACAGTTGAACTTTCAAAAAAACAATTTGGTTGATTATTTCTAATATGCATATTAGGCACCCTGCTTAATTATGGTCACCTCTCTCTTTGATTATCTGCTCTATTAGAAACACATCTCTAATAGAACACAAGCACCCTCCACAAGCACTGAATACACTGACTCATTAAAATATGACCTGTTTTTGCTCGTGTCACACATCTAAGCAAGCACATGTTACATACTAATAATAGAGAAAGAGAAAGTAACTTTTCCATTAATTGGCATGAAAATAATACTTAATAGCCTATTTGTATGACCCAAAAAGGTACACATCCTGGGCTTTTCAGGAGTACAAAGCTGTTTTGAAAAAAACAAACAGATGTCACTGAAGTTCAAAAAAAGTTTAACCCGACAAAAATTTAGCTATGTTATTGGAAATTATTGCATATAAGGCAGCAATACTCCTAGAAATTGTCAGGATGTGTGATCTTAGGGGTCATGCCTTAATGCCTATTTAGGCCACTAGAAATGTGTATATTTGATGACTTCTGGGAGACGCTTGCAAAAAAGGTCCAAGTAAAATGTTGACCACTACAGAGATACACTATTTTCTCTGGCATGCAAAAATCTGACTGGCATATTTACTTAATTTACAGTAGAGTTTATCTGAGCCACCTACCTAAGCAGTGCATGTCAAGTGAATGTAGGCGTGAAGGAGGGCCATGCATATATGATAGGATGCTTAGTGTAGATCTATTGAATGAATAGCCACCTCTGCTATGAAGTGAACAGCAAACATGCTCAGTCATGCCTGTCAAAAGACTGATACTAAATATACAGGAATCTCTCCAATCATATCAGTCTCACTGCTTGATCAACGATTACCCACGATAATAGATTTAAAGCCCTAGACATTAAGAGATATATACTACAAGCAACTGTTTTGTTTTCATAACACATTTCGACAAACTTGATTCCAATCTACC